GAACAATTACATCTTATTGTTCTTTATTGTACAAATATTTTGGTAGGATACTTTAGCATCAAACAGACTTTAATGTACTCAAAATGGTATCAGCTATTGTCATTGCCAACTCCCACAGAAATGGACCCAGCACTTTGAAAGTAGTTATTGAAAGCAGTTAGCAATCCACATAAATACACCAGTTCAGAAAAAAATCATATGTAGGAAAGTAGGTTTGTTCATTGAAAATCAAAAAATAATCAAATTAAATTTGTACTAGTTCATCAAGATAAGGAAACGATATTTCCTATCAGTTAATTAAACTAGTTAAAATACCAACTGAAAGAATAAAAGTGCAAGCATCGATATTGCTCCAGGCATCCTGAGAAGCAAAACCTGACATTGCAAGTACAACCAGATCAGATTGCATAAGAGAGGGAATGCAACATTTACACTTCTCAGAAAACTGAATCTAGCTCAGGCAGGAAAAAGCTGAAGCTACTCCATATGATGGACACTGTAAAGCATCCTACGAACTTGATTTGCAAGCCACCAGATGCCTTGCATTGTAACATGAAATTACAAGCAGGGATTCCAGAACAGTGACTCTGACAACTTAATTATTAGCACCTTAACTGCATTCATTAGCTCAGCAGGTAGTCCTTCAGACAGACCATAAGGAAGCATGCTGCACCATACTGAGATAATATTTCAATCCTTCAGTCTCAATCGTGAGTGCTCTTACTCCTTCTCTAAACTTCTTTGAAACTAAGATTAAAGTTTTATGTAATTAGACCCAATTTTCTATACAGTATCTCGGGCTGCCTTTGCTGGTCAAAAACTGCAAAAAATACTCCCTTAATAACAGATTCCTCAAACTCTAAAGGATACAAATGTCACACACAGGCAACAACTTCTCCCTTCCTCTTCTATCAACACAGAAGGATTGAAACAACATTTTTTTTATTCAAGAACTTCTACAAGTAAATTGTTTCAAATTTGTTTGGTTGGTTTTGTTTTAGAAGTGGCCTATAAACACATCAGTCAGAATGCCTATTTCTGATCTGCACTGTAATGGCTAGGAACAGATCTCTTACTTCAGACCTCCACCTGCTGCCTGACTAGCAGCTTATGTTTTGACAGTCCAAAGAACATACAATTATCTAGAATTTTAACATGCATTTAAAATTAAAGAGGTTCTGATAACCTCTGTAATGACATAACAGACAACATTAAGTACAGATAAAGTCAGACTCAGTAAAAAGAAGAGACAACTGACAGAAAGGGATAAAAAGCACAACATACATAAACCAGCAACATTTCCAGCTCACCACACAGCATCTTCCCAATGCTTGCACTCATTAAGAAGACGCTGGTTTACAGCACCCACAACTAACTTACAGAGCAAGCACAAAGTCAACAGGCAAAGAGAGGCCTGAATCTATGCTAAACACAAGGTATGCAGTTGCCTCAGCTTTTCCCAAATAAAAAGTGACTAACTCTACACATACATGTGCGTAGGCACTCAGCAGACTCATCTAAAGCAGCAATACTTTCCTGAAGGTTCCCACCTGTAGAAGCAAGGGCCAGAGAAAGTGCATAAACACAGTGCTGGAAATTAAAAAAGCTAATTTTTAAACCACTATGTCCCCTGGACCTCACCCAATCACACCAGTTCCTTTGTCCACCATCTGTTCTCACCAGTACTCCCACTGCTAGAAACTGCTTCTAATAGGGATATTTTAGGAAAAAACACACACTAGCATAAGAAGCCTCTGAGTACAGCTCTGCAGATAAAGTTTTACACAGTTTTGCAGCTGTTTTCTATTTACTTAAAATTACTCTAAAATTCCTAGGTCTTAAAATAACTTTGAAAATACCCTGTTTATACCTAATCAAATGCTAAGCCTATAACGTATTAATAAGTGTACAACAGTAGACATTAGTATTGACTGCTACCACAATAAACAGTTTGTCAAGAAAGCATGTTCCAACAAAGTGAAGAATTAATTAGAACACCCTAGGATACCTACAGCCTCAAAATAAAATGTTGACAATTTCAGGAACACTTACACTGACATGACTTGAGGTTGATGTTCGTCCTGACATGGTTTTCTCTACTGGAAAAAAAATACAAAGAGAAAAAAAAAAAAGAAATTTAAGAATTTCTAGTTTATTAAGAGGGAAGTAGAACCACAGCAGCAAGCACTAAGAAAGAATATGAAAATTTTTGAGCAATCTAGAACAAAAGAACAACATTCATAACATGGCTTGGGTTGGATAGGGAGTTTAAAAGATTTTATATTATAGTTCAGCCATCCTGTCATGGGCAGGGACATCTTTCAACTTTGCTTAAAACTATTCAACCTGACTTTGAATGCTCCCAGGGATGGGGCATCCACTGCTTCTCTGGGCAACCTGTTCCAGTCTCACTATTCTCATTGTAAAAAAATACTCTTCCTCGTGTCCAGTCTACACCTACCCTCTTTCAATTTATAACCATCCCCTCTTGCCCCATCACTACAGGCCTTGGTAAAAAGTAATTGACAGCCACAATACAAGATAGACACACACCTGGGCAAGGCTCTGGATTGTCAGCACAGACTAAATTGTTAATGAAATTGTCCTAGAATTTATCCTTAGCTAAGATATTTACTGATTAACTCCTTGCTGTAAGCACACAACTAATAAGCAGCTCACACTTAAACTAGTGAAACGCGGATGAAAAATCAAACCCCACAATTCCAATAAAGATTTACATGGAATGGGTTGTTTGTTTATTCACAGCGCTGGACCATGTGGGGACTCATTGCCCTTCAATGAACATGTGCACCTCTGAGAACTCCCGATCCTTTTTTATTACCCTTATTAATTTCCATATGCATAGAATTTCACAACAGGTTCACGCATATTCATTCTGCTAATTTCACGTCACACTTACAGCTAGTTACACTTGTATTCAGTTTTTGTCAGAAAGTACAGAAAGAACTCCTGGGTCACTGCGCGGTCTGTTTCAAGGTCTGAGGAGTCTTTCTTATCTCTTATCTTTTAGTGTAGAAATTTGCATTCTTTCTCCTTAGCTGGGGTAGTTTTGCTAGTGCTGCAGTTACCAGACTAAACAGCATATTTCACTTATGTTAGCAAGCTCAAAGTGGCACATTTCACTTAAATCCAAATGGATTTCTACCCTGGTAAATTTTCACTCTGTCTCACTAGAGCATGGAAAGGAATAAAAAAGCACAGCCGCGTACCGGAGCCGCGTACCGGAGCCGTGTACCGGAGCCGTGTACCGGAGCCGTGTACCGGAGCCGTGTGCCGGCACCGGCACTCACCGCCGGAGCCGTGTACCGGAGCCGGTACCGGAGCCGTGTACCGGAGCCGGTACCGGAGCCGTGTACCGGAGCCGTGTGCCGGAGCCGGTACCGGAGCCGTGTACCGGAGCCGTGTACCGGAGCCGTGTACCGGCACCGGCACTCACCGCCGGAGCCGTGTACCGGAGCCGTGTACCGGAGCCGTGTGCCGGAGCCGGTGCCGGAGCCGTGTGCCGGAGCCGTGTGCCGGAGCCGTGTACCGGAGCCGTGTGCCGGAGCCGGTGCCGGAGCCGTGTGCCGGAGCCGGTACCGGAGCCGGCACTCACCGCCGGAGCCGGTACCGGAGCCGGTACCGGAGCCGTGTACCGGAGCCGTGTACCGGAGCCGTGTACCGGCACCGGCACTCACCGCCGGAGCCGTGTACCGGAGCCGTGTACCGGAGCCGCGTACCGGAGCCGGTACCGGAGCCGTGTACCGGAGCCGTGTACCGGAGCCGGCACTCACCGCCGGAGCCGCGTACCCGGCGGTAGCACCAACACGCACCGCACCGCCGGAGCTGTTTACCGGAGCCGTGTACCGGCACAAGCACTCACCGCACCCCGGAGCTGTTTACCGGAGCCGTGTACCGGCACAAGCACTCACCGCACCCCCGAGCTGTGTACCGGAGCCGTGTACCGGAGCTGTGTACCGGAGCCGTGTACCGGCACAAGCACTCACCGCACCCCCGAGCTGTTTACCGGAGCCGTGTACCGGCACAAGCACTCACCGCACCCCCGAGCCGTGTACCGGAGCCGTGTACCGGCACAAGCACTCACCGCACCCCCGAGCTGTTTACCGGAGCCGTGTACCGGCACAAGCACTCACCGCACCCCGCAGCTGTTTACCGGGCCGTACCGGAGCTGTTTGCCGTACCGGGCCGTACCGGGCCGTACCGGGCCGTACCGGGCCGCCGCGCAGCTTCCCCCGGCACTTCCGGGCCGGGCGCCGCCCCTCGGGCCTCCGAGCTTTAACCCGCTCGGGGCGCGCTCGGTGCCGGGCCGAGTGGCTGAGAGGCAGCGAAGAAGCGGCGGAACCGCCGTGCTCGGCAGGAAGCAGCCGTGAGCCGGGCCCGGCCCAGGTTTGAACCGTGCCCGGCCCAGGTTTGAACCGTGCCCGGCCCAGGTTTGAACCGTGCCCGGCCCAGGTTTGACCCGTGCCCGGCCCAGGTTTGAACCGCGCCCTGCTGATGCCGCTTGCCCGGCGGACAGCCAGGCCCGTCCCGGAGCGCCCTCAGAGCCCGGCCGGCCTTAGAAACCCTATGCGGCTAAGGGGAGACGAGAATTGGTGGCTGTTGGTTTTTTTGGGTTTTTTTTTGTTTTTTTTTTTCCCCTCAGGACAGCTTCAGAATTGTAAGTTTTGTGTGCCGCTTTCAGCTTTGTTTTCTTCTTAGTCGTGGGAATTAAAACTGGTGTGGGCAAATGTTGAGTTTCATACTCGAGGTTTAGCCTTAGTTTACTGTCAGGTGTGAATTACAAACGAGAGAGGTGAGTTTGTAACTTGGAACTATCTGGAGCGCTTTAGGTAGCCACGAACTACCAGCTACTGACAGGTTTTGTAGGTACACGCCCCAGTACATAAAGTAATGAAAATTAAAACCATGATCGGGTTTATTTTTTTCATGCAGAGAACTTGTCTACACTCCCAGAGTGAAGAAGATTTCCATTTATGATGATGACAGATTTTACAGAAGAAGATACGGTAATATTGGGCTTTACTAGAATGAGATGGTTTTAAATGGAAAACAAAGTAATCTTTATGGATCTTACATAGTACTCATACTGCAGTAGTGTTTAGAATATGCCAAATGCTACAACAAGCACCAGGTGAATATACATCTGAAGCATTTTAGGCTCTGAATAGAAAAGTGGGAGGAAGGGAAAGAGGGATTATGTTTCCCCCAAAAGCAAATTTTCAAAAATAAGGTAGCAATTGCTACCAGCTGCCAGCATATACAGCCTTGAATATTGCATTTATATATAGACAGTGAAGTACAAACAGCTATCAATGCTGATTTAGAATGCAGAATTACAGCAAGAAAAACTTAAAAGGTATACAGTCTAACTTGCCAAATATAACTTGATTCAGACAATTTACAGGAAAAAAATAAATTACTGCATTAGGACTAAACTCCTGTAAAGGTAGGATACTGACCATACCAAAGGTTATACCATATTTGCAGTTCTACAGCTAGTGACAGTCAGTAGTAGATTGAGGAATCACTCAGAAAACAGAAGGTTCTGCTAATCTTAATTTTTCAGCTGCACAAAAATCACTTTCTGGTATAATTAATATCAATCATTAGAGATGATCTGAAATTGGAGACCTCAGTCCAACCTCCTGATAGTTTGCTGCCTGGACTTTCTTTTTCCCTGCTCCTGGATCACAGTGGCTAGTTTATTTTGTCATCCATTCCTCTATTTCCATGTGGCAAGTGCTTGCAAGGATGAATGACGAACTAGAGAGATTAGACAAAGCAAACACATACATGTATGTACGTGTTACCTGTTCTAGTGCAGTTGAAGGTAGAAGAACATGGAGAGTATGCTGGTACACAAGCAATGGGAAGGTTGAAGTCCTTAGTAAGCACAGCTTATTTTCTTTAAAAACTCGGGATCCAGTTATGACACTTGGACTATTTCCAACTGCCTAGGCCTGTATTTCAAAGGTGGCCTTGAAACTCAGTGGAGTTCCAAGATAATGGCTAGGAGACAGCACAATAAAAGTTGTTCAAGTGAACAGTGAACCATGTACATGTGCCTCCTTCTTAAAGTCTTTAATTCAAACTACCTTAAACGGATCTTTAAATAAACATGCTACTTACAAATTTTTAACTACCAAACTGAAATAAAGGCAGAGGAGTTACTGCTGTTGGAACTTCACAACTGACATCTCTAAGGGGCTTTAGAAGCAGCTAGTTTGCTATACATCACCATTAAATACTCTGGATTAACAAGTATTTAATTTGTAACAGCTTTTAAATCTAAATTCTAATGGGGGTAGGGTGGGTAGACAGGTGGTCTATCACTACTTTGACATAATAGTCTTCTTAATTTGTAGTGGTTACAAATACAAGGTGAACTCAGTTTGAGGAAACTAACAGAGGGTTCAGAGTATCAAGAGGAACTAAATTACGACTTCAATATAAAAGGGGAACTGAGGCATCTGGATACAAACGAGTCCTTTGTTTTCAATTACTACAAGAATGAACATGAGCAGAATCATAAACGCTATGAAGTTCTGGGACATTTTATTACTCAGTATGTTTATGAGCTCCTGGAAAGAGTCTGCATGCTGCACAAGGTTTACATTCCTACTGATGCTACAGAGGATGAGCCAAGAAGCTTCTTTTTCATGAGCAAGGATGCACTAACAAGTTCCTCTAGCCTAATTATCCTTCTTCAAGACCGTGGAGTTTTTTGTGCTGGACAGTGGGGGCGAAGGGCAATTGTCAGTGAGGGCCTGAAACATGGAACACAAATGCCATTCATCAAAATGGCCCTGCAAAACCACTGGGAAGTGATTGTACTGAACCCCAATGACAATTTCACTGATCTGAACGCTGAAAAGAAGAGGTTTGCTGCCAGGAAAGAAGCGCTTACTTTTACACAGTCTGCCTGTTGGATCCCCAAAAGGGGCAGCAGCAGCCCTGAAGAGCATACCGTGTATGTATGGGATCATTTCATTGCAAAGAGTGCAGCCAGGAACGTGGCCTTCATTGCCCATGGCTATGGGGGGTTGGTGTTTGTTGATCTGCTGGTGCAGAGGAAATGTGAGGTGATGAATAAAGTGTATTGTGTGGCATTCATTGACTCCACGCACAACGTGCAGCACCAGAGCAGACACGATCCAGAAATACAAGAATGGATACACAAAAACTGCCAAGAATGGGTGTCTAACAGTAAACCCCTAAATAAAACTGTGCACTTTCTCATGAGAGCAAATTGTCCTACTTTCTCTGCTGGAACAGAAAAGTATAGTTTAGCACCCTCCTGCTGCTTACAATCCATCTTTAAGTACCTGAAAACCATGCTGAAAGCCAAGATTGCAACAGCCTTGAGGAATTCACCCGCTGCAACTAGAAGCAGCACAAGAAAGAAGACAGGCAATAAATAAAGGTACACTGGTTTGTTCTTGATAGTGGTCTCTACCTTTCAAAAGTGCTTCTGCTCCTTTCCATCACTTAAGCACCTTCATCTCACTGTGGAGAAATTCACAGTGTTCTGAGTTTGAAACTATGTTTGGTTTTGAGAAGAAAAACACTAACTATTAGGAAATATATGCCTTGTTAAAAGCCTTAAGCCACAACCCTTTGGCTAGCTGTGAAATTTAAAGTTGAATTAAGGATTTAAAGGTATACAAGCTCTCATCTATCATTTTCTATAATAAACATTCTATAGTTTTGGCTCTATAATCAGACTAAACTATCAGGAAAACATTTGCTTAAGTGCTTAGTTTCATTAGAAGGCCAAATCTGGAATAGCAAAACGTGTAACCAATCTTTGCTCCTATGTAACATGTACTGTTTGAAATCTTCCAAGAGCTGGAACATCTACTTTCCTCCTTGAAACACTTACTGTTAAGCTGAACAATGCTTCAGGGAAGTAAACACTACTACATTCCCGCCAGTCAGAGTTGGTGTGCCCCAAAGGGGCACATGCAAGTAAAATAATTTCCATTTTAAAGCCCACTGAGCCTGTGAGAATACTGGACATGATCTGCTGCAGAGATACACTAGTCTGGCAACCTGCAGTTACCAAACTGATGCAAGGGAATTACATTGCTTTTTCCTCTCACTTGTTTAACTTTAGAAAGAGGTGGGACACACAGTTTTTACATACTCAAGGCTTTCAATGTGTACAAACAGAAGTTTAAATAATCTTTAAAGTGAATGTAAAGAAAAGAATTATTCTTAAATTCCAGTTTGAACCCATAGGAATCAAAAGTGCTCAATGGCCACGAAAAAGGATCCTTTGAAGGATGACAAAACCTTCTCCTACAAGTGTAGAGCATTCTAATCTCAGTCAAAAAAGCTATTGAATAGTAATAATGGATTTCAGAAAGAGAGCATCAACTTGCCTTTGTATTTATATCCATTTCAGATTTCAGTCATCATCTCTCTCAGAAGAAACTTGCTGTTACACAGCAATGGATAAAATATAAAATTCCATTGGAAAGGCACATTCAATTGAAAGTTCTTGAGAGCAAGCACAGCTTTTTTTATTAATGTCAGGTTTACTGTTATTACATCTGAATGAAAATGGTACTACACAGACAACTACCGGAGTGCCTCAATTCCCTGGAGAAGATTCCACAGCCATGGATACACACAGCCTGCCTGTTTTGTAAGGGCTGCTCAGCACACAGCTCCAAGAACTTTTGTCAACTCTATTCAGGAACACGTAGCTTTATTTATGAGAGCAGCATGAGGTGACAGAATATCTGTCTTCAGAAGGAGACCAATATGATCCTTCAGGATAAATGCTCAAACTGTCCCACAACGTCAGGGGAGGCCAAAAGCGCTCAAAGGAAAAGGGATCTGCAACATCGTCCATTTGTGTAATTCTTATCTCAGGTCTTGTGTAATTCTTATCTCAGGTCAAACCGTTAAATGCCTTGGTAGAGGAGGTCGTATTTGGGAATGTTCTTGGGATCAATAGGACTTCTCACAATGAGCTTTCCCCGCATTGCTCCACGGTAAATCACTTCAATCAGATCTATAAAGTCTTGCTTCGTTTTGAAGCTTCCCACAAATTTGGTGTGATCTGGAGACCTAAATATAAGCATAAGACAAAAGTAGAATTGTAACGTTAAAGTGTTCAGAGAAAAACCACCTGAAAATGTGCAAAGATGCCCAAATGAGATAAGGAGTTCTGATCTGGTCATTCTGAATGAATGAACTAACTTTGTAATGGCATAACCAAGTCAGGAATGGGACCTCCAAAGGTCAAACGGGTGCAGCATCATGTCTAAGATTTTAATAATTTCTTACTATTTTTTGCAGAGTTGGACATATTTAACCTACTTATTGCATGAAAGCATATTTCAAATGGCTTTCCTAATTACATCCTTCTAGCTTCCTACAGAATTCTCAATGCAGATGCTGGTAACAACATTATAGTTTTCAAATGTTACCTTCCCCAGACATGACAACATAGAAAAAGACTGATAATTCTTACGGACATAATAGTGGTAGGATGACTTACCCATAATCAACCTTCATGTGTTGTCCATTGAAGAAAAATACAGTAGATGGAATATAACTGATGTCAAAGTACTGGGTGTACACTGGGACGTCGTTCACATCCACCAGGTAAATGACTGCCATTTTACTTAGGTCATGAGCTGTTTTTGCAAGCTGGAAAGAGTGAGAAAGGCAGATGACAACTAGACTGATATATGAGGAAAAGAGGTTGGCAAGATTTATAAAGCCTGTTTCTCTTGTGTGTTACCAGTTAAAGCAGGTGTAGAATATAGAATATCACATCTTCTCTACCTCGAGCCTTTGTTCAGCCACTACAATAGTAACACAGATGCTTGCTTTTCAAACCTTTTTATAAATATAGTGTAATTTCATTCTATACTAGTCACTAAACTTTTCACGAGTGCCCATCTTAGCAAAAGCAACATTCTCTTCTATGCACCAAATATATACTCGTACAGTCTGTTAAAAAAAAAAAAAATAAAAAAAAGGTCTTACAATATCATCGAGCTGCAGACAAACAGCATCATTATCTCTTCCAAAACGGAGAACCAAAACCTTCTCAGCGACGCTTTTTATTGCCTGATCCACTTCCCTCTTGCAGGTCAGTTTGGGCAGCAGGAAACTCATGGCGACAGATCACGGTCTGCACCGAAACCGCAGCCTTACAGCGGAAAAAACAACAAAACAACGCACCGTCAAACAGCAGCGACCCGCGGGGCAAAAAGAAGAGACACTTCTCTGTGCTACTAAATGTTTTAAAAGGAAAAAAAGGCTGTGAGGGGAGAGAAGAGAGCGAGGGAGGGAGAGGGAAGAGGAGAGAGGAGATAGCGGAGATCGGCAGGCCGGGCTGACAGACCCCGCGGCGGCGGGGCCAGACCGGGAGCAGCGCCCTCAGTGCCCGGGGCCACCGCAGGAGTGGAACAGCGATGGAACAGCGATGGAACAGCGATGGAACAGCGATGGAACAGCGATGCAAACCGGGAGAGCTGGGACGGCCGCCCGGCGCAGCTCCCGCCGCGAGGGCGCGGGCAGCCCGGAACGCCGGCGCTGCGGCCGCGGGGCGCCGGGGGACGACAGCCGAGGGAGCGCCGCGCGGCCGCGCAGGCGCAGCGGCTCCGCGGGGCGCCCGGGGTCCGACCGGCGCGGCGCGGCACGGCGCGGCACGGCACGGCACGGCACGGCGCGGCACGGCACGGCACGGCACGGCGCGGCGCGGCACGGCACGGCACGGCGCGGCACGGCGCGGCACGGCGCGGCACGGCACGGCACGGCACGGCACGGCGCGGCGCGGCACGGCGCGGCACGGCGCGGCACGGCACGGCGCGGCGCGGCACGGCCCCACCGAGCCCCACCGAGCCCGGCGAGCGGCCGGACATCGGACAGGTGCTTGTGGCCGCCCCGGCGCGCTGCCCCGGAGGCCGCGGGCCCCGCCGCCGCTGAGGGCTGGGGAGGTGTGAGCTGGCGGGCGGCTGCTCCTGGGCCGGTTGGGAGGTTGTTCATCAGCGAGAGTCTAAAGGGGTGCCCGGAGTGTGGATCCAGGCTCGTGCTGCCACAAGAGGCAGCGGGTTTGGACACTGAGGCACGGAAATTCCACCTGAACACGGGGAAGGAATTCCTTACTGTGCAGTGACCGAGCACTGAACGGGCTGCCCAGAGAGGCTGCGGAGTCTCCCTCACTGGGGACACTCCCGACCTGCTTAGACACAGTTCTGTGCCGTGTGCTCTGGGATAACACTCCTGGAGCAGAGGTTGGAACAGATGATCCACTGTGCCCCTTCCAGCCTTACCCAGCCTGTGATTCTGGGTGTGCAGCTGTGCTGGAAGAGTAAGGCAGCTTGTTCAGTCTCTGAAACATCACTGAAGAGCCTTTCTGTTATTGAGATGAGTTGCAGTGAAGTCATGCTCGAAAAGAAAAGAAAAAATACTTTCAGTGCTACAAATGTAGGTTCTTGAAAGAGCGATAGATGAATTCTTGCAGTAGCAGTGTTAGCGTGAATGACACACTGCAAGGTAGCTTGGCTCTATCAAAAGCTGTCATCAGGTATTCTGACAGTGTAAATCTGGTGCTCAATATGGACTTAACTGGAGCTCCACTAATGTAAATTAATTGAAGAACTGATCCCTTGGTTTCTCCATGCTTCTTTGGTTATTACTTTTGTCATTAGTGTAATGCTTCAGTGTGATATTAGGGATACTTCCATTGTAGCACTTACAAATTTTCACATTGTTAGGTTGCTTGGTTGATCTTGTTTCTTTTATCTTAATAACGGTAGAACATGAGAGGTCAGCCACCAACTTGACCAATTACTGTGTAATAAAACACATGCCAGGTTATATAACATTTCTAAATAAGCTCCTTCTGTGCCTGTATCTGAGCAGGTATATATTTACAAACCCAGCATTTGATTAATTAACTTCTTCTTCTGTATATCACTTTATTTTCAGTTTATTAGGAAGATTATTAATTTTTATTTTAAAATTAGGAATTAATTCTAGTTTCGTCCAAGTCACGTTTCCTCCGGGACTGAAACTTCACTGATGCTTACTTCAGTAGTGTGCACAGGCCAAGGAAACTGTTAAATGTTCTTGTCTATGTTTTTCTTTCTGCAGACCTTTCATATTTAAATACAAATGTGGATAAAATTAATGGGACTGGGGAGGGTTTATGTGCCTATGCCAACTTCACAGACAGTTTAGCAAAAAGAAGAAAGATGGGTCTTTTCCTGTACCAGTTTTTATTCTTCCATCTCTTCTTTCTGTTTTCACAGGATAGATAAATGATATAAAAACACTTCTGGTTTCCTTGCAGCAGTTCACTGATTTTGGTTTTGAAGGCTCATCATATGACAGAGATAACTTGAAGAGATCTTGCACAGTCTTGAAGGTTGTTTGTCTGCATTTTGAATTGCAGTAAGTATAGCTGGTTTAAGCCGGTTTTATTTAGGAAATAGTAAAAAATGCATACTAGAAGGAGGAATTTCTAGCATCCTCCAATAAGTAACATATTGTCTGTTAGTGTTACTAACAGAATAAAAATAAAAATAAAAATAAAAATAAAAATAAAAATAAAAATAAAAATAAAAATAAAAATCTGCATGTGTTTTCTTTGTGATTTCTGACAAGTTTTTTTCTCCTGTTCTTGGTGTTTCACAGATAAGTGTTGCAGCACAGCACATGTCTAAGTATGCAGTCTGCTAATATGCTTCTAAGAAGAATTGTAAGATGTTCTGCCCTTCCATTTGCTGTGCAACATGGGATGAAAAAGGATTTGTTTCTGCTCGGTAGAACTCTGAGTTTATCACTTTGTTTGAAGCAAGACAAGTCATGTGAACCCTCAGAAAAACTGGATTTAGATGAGTGGAAGAAGGTCATGAAATCTGGGTTGCAAGAAGAGGTCAGTGAGACAGCCTCGGAGCCTAAGGAGCTTTCTGGTTTGGCTGCTGCACGTGAGACTTTGGAGATGTGGAGGCTAGCTGGCAGAGCAGTTCCAGAAAATGTTAGTGAAGAACAGCTAAAAACTTTTATGGAGTGTCCTTCTAAGTCAGCCAAAAAGAAGTATTTAAAATATTTGCATCTCAAAGAACTTCACAAGAAAAATGACAAAAGAAAGATGGATGAGAAAAGGGAGAGGAGGCTGGAAGCACAAGATCAAGCTTCAAAGACAGATGAGACCAAAAACTGTCCATTCGTGTGTTTATGGTCCCGCACTATGGATAAAGCGTACAACTGGAGAGCTGCTCAGGCCATGGTCTTTGGCCAGCCTCTGGTATTTGACATGTCTTATGAAAAAGAAATGTCTGCGCGAGAAGTCACAAACACAGTGAGCCAGATAGTGATGAGTGAAAGCAGCAATCGCAGATCTGTGGATCCATTCCACATCCACTTCTGTAACTTCAAGGATGACAGCCTCTATCACAGGGAATTCATCAAGAATTACAGAGATGCGTGGGACAAACTGCTTATCACAGTGACAGAGCAGTGCTACACAGAAATCTTTCCAAAGGATAAGCTCATCTATCTGACGGCCGATTCTCCCAATGTAATGAAGACATTTGATCACGATAAGATCTATATTGTTGGGTCGCTGGTTGACAAGAGCATAAAAAGAGGAGTCTCTCTAGCACGGGCAAAGCGACTGGGGCTGGAGACTGCAGCCCTTCCACTGGAGAAGTATTTGCTTTGGAGTACTGGTGCCAAGAATCTCACACTGGATCAAATGATGCATATTTTATTAACCTTAAAAGATACTGCTGACTGGAAAAAGGCTCTGGAATTTGTTCCAAAAAGGAAATACTGTGGCTTTGTAAACAAGCCTGTAAAGGAACTGAAAAAAACGTTAGACCTGATCAACACACTTAAACTTGGAAAGGGACAGGAAAAAGTAGAAAAGCAGTTTGCCAAAAATTACCCCAAGAAGTATAAAATAAAGCAGAAGTAGAGTGATGGGGAGGAAAATTAGTTTTTTACACACAAACTTTAATGCTCTGACTTCTTGGTACATCTGGAACTCTGTTCAACTGTTAATCTACTTAAGTTTGTCACTTATGTTTGAAATGGCCATTGTTAAGAGTTGGGTTTTTAAATTACTTTTGTAGTCCAGCTATTTAAATTTATTCACAAATTATTGAAATTATGTAAGAGAAATGAGGTAATCTGTTTAAAAAAAACCAAAACTCTACATGGAGACTCGGTCTGTTCAGTTGAACTGTGCTTGGACAAAGGCGATTGTTACTGAATGCAGAGGTCTCCAGAGCTCGCTGCTTTGGAGGGTGCCTACAGTTTTATTCTAAAAGATTAGTTAAGATGAAGTAGAAGAGACCTCTCCCATTACTTCCTGAATCCTCTTGTATGCAGATGAATTGATAGCTGAACTAAATGGTTAAACCTTGCGTGAGTTTGGGGAACTGCACAATTTATTTCTGGATGTTCTAAATAAAGTCCATGTTTGCAAGGAATCAGGCAAATTTCTTTACTGTGCTGAGAAAAATTAATCTTACCTACTTCTGTGTAAAACTTTTATCCCAGAGTGCCTGTGTTTTCACCTGAGCTATTTACACGCACCGAGGAGGCGAGGAGGCAATGGTATCTGCAGGGTGCGGCAGCGGTTCCTTCGCACCCCCGAGACGCAGAGCTCATGTACCAAATCTTCCAAGAGCTGGAACATCTACTTTCCTCCTCGAAACACTTACTGTTAAGCTGAACAATGCTTCAGGGAAGTAAACACTACTACATTCCCGCCAGTCCGAGTTGGTGTGCCCCAAACGGGAGGTGAAATAATTGCCATTTTTAAGCCAGCTGAGCCTGTGAGAATAGTGGACATGAGCTGCTACAGGCGACGCTGGGGCGCGGTGCTGGGAGTGCCGGGGCGTGACTGATCCCCCGGCTTTTCCCGGGGGAGGGGATGGAATCCTGGAACCCGTGCCCACCTGAGCAGCGGCTCCGGGCGAGCGGCGGATGGGCGCCGCCCGCCGCGCTCCCGCCCCCGGCGCGCTCCCGGCGCGCTCCCGCCCCCGGCGCGCTCCCGTTTCCCGCCGCGCCATCCCCGCGCGCCGCAGGGGCGGGGCCGGGCCGGGCGCCGCGCGTGCGCGCTGCGCGAGGCGGCGGCGGGGGAAGATGGCGGACGGCAGGGCCGAGCGGGAGAAGGCGAAGCGGCCGCAGCCCGCAGGAGGTGAACACGTAGCGCCGCTCGCCGCGGAGCCGTGGGTGGGAACGGGCTCCGGGCCGGCCCGGCGGGGGTGGAGGGGGTCCGGGTGCGCCTCGCCCCGCCGTGCGGTGCCCGGCCCTGCGGGGAGAGGAGGCGGCCTGGGCCTGAGGGGCTGCGCTGCAGGAGAGGCCGAGTCGCGCCCGCTGCGCTCAGCTTTACAGCGCTTTCCTAAAAACACACCGGCTGCTCTTTGTTCCTGCCAATGCGCTGTTTCTCTCTCCTAAAAATACATGGGCTGCTTACGCCGTGTTCGGAGAGAAATACCGCTGCTGCTGTCTGCAAGGATGAAGACAGAGCCTTAACTATTAACTTTCAGCAGTTATGGTACCTTTTTATAAATGGGTGCAGTGAATATTCTTTAATTGCTGTTTTGAGCATTTGGGGATTTTTTTGTTTGACAACAATCTGTAAGCTTGCTGTTTGGTCTTACAGTATTTATATTATTACTGGACATTCCTGTAATTTCTGCAGTATTTGGTTCGAAAATTTTAATTGTATGTTTCTTTTCTTCTTTCTTCCCTTAAAGTTGGGAGGACAGTGTCTTTGCAAAGATAAAGCTTTTCTTTCTTGGTGTGTTTCTTTTTTTGTTTTAATTGGGTTTTGCTAATTCTTTTTTTGTTTTGGTATATCTGTAGGGAGAGGGAACTTCTTAGATCTGTCGAAAAATTAAATCGGGCTTGTAAACCAATCAGGATATCCTCAACAGTGAATGTTATTTCTGATAATCCTTGACATTTGAAGAGTATCGATTTTAGGTAGTTCCTTGTCTCTTGGTTCTCTGTTGGGCTTTGGTGGCTTTTTGGAATTTATTTTTTGTTGGTGGCATTGGGTGGTTTTTTGTGTTAGTAATACAATAACTGGACAGGATCAGCACATCAGTAATTCATACTGTTTTGTGTGCTGAAACATGATCTGAATGAGTTGAGGTACCTTGGCCCTAAGGAAGAATAGTTGTTCCCTGACGATTTTTGAAAGCAATTTGCAGTCCTTAGCTTTTTTGGCAAGATAATGGGTCTCACGTTAAAATTAGCTTAGCTGTGACAGGTTGGTCCCCACGGATAAGAGATCCTGAAGTGCTGTGCAGCTGGCACCGTCACTCTTGGCACTCCGGCCACCCGGGCCGTGGAAGTTGTTCACTCGTGGGGCTGTTGATCTGCATGAGTAAAACTTAGCTGAGGATAGGACAGCTTTAAGTGTCTGCAATCCATGGAAACCAGCCAGGCTGGTTTGGAAATAGTGCTGGTGCTTTCTGTGGGTGAATAAGACCTCCAGGAAATGATAAAGCAGCCTTGATACCCTGGATTGTATTATGGACTGGCATGGGATGTGGTAAAGACCTGCTGAATGGTCAGTGTGCCTGCATTTCTGCTTCCTGCAGAAATCAAACAGCACAACAGCTCCCTCCCCTCCTTCCCCAGTTGTCCCGTGCCCCTTACAGCTCTCTCATCAAGCAGGAGTGTTTCCTTCAGCAGTCTGGTGTTCATCCTTTGGCAGGCCCAGGAGAAATAACGCTCAGAATGCAGTGCTAATTCTGCCAGACATGCTCTTTGGGATTTGGTGAGAAAACATAAACAGATGTGGGTAGATTGTATTAGGCTTCACCTTGTGCTTAGCAGTATTTGAGAATCTGCACTTAAAAGAAGTAAGCTGTAAGAAGTAGTGTAATAACCTTCAAGCTAGCACTAGTGTAGGAACTGGTTCCCTGTGCCCTGAACTTTGGGCTGCTATGGATTTTGTATGTTATGAAAAATAAAGCTTATCCCTAAGGTTCCAGCAGGAACCAGTGAATCTGGCCAGTGAATCTTCTAGCTCCCCTTGAATGACAGTCTCTGGTGTACCGAGGCTGCACTTGGAACATTCTGTTTGATGTCATTCCATGGACTGGCTATAAGGATGCTCTCACAGTCTCTGCAGACTGCTGTTGGGTAAACTCTGCTAAGACAGCTACCCAAGGTCACTTGTGTAAATTTTGATTGTTTCTCTTTCCTCCTTTGCTTTGTTTTTCAATTTTATATCTATATTTTCTGGATCAAATTTCTAGTAGCATTTTTTAATACAGTGAAACTGATTAAAGTTACAAATTTTTTTTTCTGATCTGCCATATTTCTGAAGGTGAATGATAAATCCATTTTGGTTTCAATCACTTATTGACACCTGGAAGAGTGGGGCAGAAGTGGTATATTCTGCTGTTTCTGATTCGGGAAATAGCAGACAAATATATATATAGATTGAGTCCCTAGATTTCTCTTTCCTGATGTTGTTTGCTTCTTTTTTTTTTCTCAGAGCTACAATCTTGTTGACCCCCAGTTCAGACTTTCTTCTCTCCCATTGCTTCATCTTACGTAGTAGCTTTTTGCGTTAGCAGTGCACAGAGCTTTATCCCGATGGTTGGAATTTGCTGTTCATGGAAGGTGCTCTTCTCCATTTGATGTGATGAGGAACTTGTGCTAGCTCCAGTTGTTTCAAACTGCTGCTGTGAGCACTTCCCTGTCCATTCCTTAATGTGTGTTGGTTTTTCCCCCCTTCTGCTACTGCAGTGGTTTGCTTATCGCAGCAGCAGGGACTTGTCTTTTTGCTAAAGCATTTACTCTGTTCAGTATGAGTTTTCCAAGGACACCTTTGTCTTTGGTGTAGCTGAAGAAGCTGATTTTATAGGAATGGAAGTGTTGCTTGAATATTTTTTCTCTGTGGATCACTGTTCAGCTGCTATGTTTTCCATGGCTATACAAAACCAGAAAAGATGAAATCTATATATATGTTTTTTTAGTGCTGATTCCTTCCTCAAGCAGCGCTTGGCAGATTTATTACAGATGAGATGCGGACAAGCAGTGACTTGAAACATGATTGAGACAGCCGGCCTCACTGTAGTCACTCCCATGATTTTAGGCTTGTGCCAGACAAGCCTAGAGACTGGCATGGACATGATTTTGTAGAAATGTAGTAGAATAAGTTTTAACTTAGATTGTCTACTCTAGATTTGGAATTGGGATTCCAATTATGAAAGCTTATCTGTGGCAGCTTAAAAAGATTTAGTCATCTACATTTAATTTACTACATGAACTTTGACTTCCATACTAAATAAAGAGATGGTGCTTCAAGATGGTTTTCCTGACTCATACAAGAAGTTCTTTACAAGTAGTGGAGTGCTTGCAGTTTCTTCTCCTCTTTGTGTTTTGCTGTCCACTAATTATACATTGGTGGAAACTGCTGTCACTAAAAACACCTTACCTATTGCACCCAAAGTATAATGCTTTTTGAGGTTGCTGCTCCCATCAATCTGCTCAGTAAAAGTAGCTCATCTTGGTAAGTTGTTTCGACTTCACCAGGACCTGAAGAAGAGGCAGAAAAACCTGTGAAAACTAAGACTGTTTCTTCCAGTAATGGAGGAGAAAGTTCGAGTCGCAGCGCAGAGAAACGGGCAGCTAATGAAGAAGCTGAAGACTTCAACACAAAGCCCGCTCCTGCCAAAATGTCCAAGTTTGGATTTTCCATAGGCAGTCAGACAACAAAGAAGGCATCTGCAATATCCATCAAACTGGGAGCAAATGTAAGTTTACTGAGGGCTTTTAATTTAAGGGAAACCGAGGGTAAAGGGACTTTGGGGAGGCTTCCTTGCAGAGGAAACCTTGAATTCCCATGAGGGTAACTCGGGTGAAGCTTAGGCAGGGGTTGCAGGGCCAGCTGGTCGTGCATGTGTAAGTACTTCAAGGTGATTAATAACAGGTCGGTAGTCTCAGGAATCATAAGACTTGATTGAAATGAACTGTAGATCTTTGAACATGCAGAATAATTTTACAATGAGATTTGATAAGTCTGCAATAATTTCCTGAGGGAAATGAGACTTGTTAAGCTGCTCGGGCTACTTTGAAATGAGTGCTGGGATCTTCATTGCATAGGATGCTTAAAGCTAGAAGAAAGCATCTAGATGGCTTAATAGCTGTCTTCCACTCCGAAGATCTTATTTTAGTATGGGGAATGGTAGCGTATTTCCATGACTTTGCTTGTTCTTTGCAAGGTCAGTATGATTTGTGTTAAATGTAAGAGATGGGGCTTTGATAGGTTTCTAAGAATTCTGATCCCCTTGATTGTCCAGCACAAGGTATCCTTGTGCTTGTTCAGATGGGAATCTGATGACTCTCTGTACTTCCAGAGTAGTCCTCCACTGGCTTGGCCAAGGACAAGCCAGCGTATTAAACAGAACAGCCTCTCTGTTTAATACAGTTAATTTACATTTCCTGCCTATCACTGGGATGGATATAA